TTCTGCAGATGTTGGTGGAGCAAAATAATTTTCAGAAGTTACCGGGACTACTGAACCTGTGTTTGGATTGCCTAGCACCGGATGAGTGGACAGAAAAGTTTGCTGAGGCAAATTATTAGAAACAGGTTGAATGACCTGCTGTAACCCTACTGGATTGTTAACGGAAACCTGGGATCGAACCAAATTCGACAAATTATGTTGTTGTCCGTGAGTGTGGTTACTGTAATACAATCCCGGATCACTAGAAGCTGCCTGTCCATTATTCACTCCTGTAAAACTTGATGAGACCAAGTAAATTGTTGATGCAGGATAAGTTGCCTCAGGAGCTGTTGAACGAACGTGCTGCTCTTGATTGGGAACTACAGCAGCATCAGGCTGATTGTGGTCGACAGATTCGACCCAGTGACGCGTACGATCCTTTTCGTCTATTGTTAGTTGTGGAGAGATTCGAGTTAAACCACTTTCCTCAGCATTCGCGCTAATTTCCGACAACTCATCTTCTAACTCAAGCCCTTTCAACTCAATTTCTGCCAGTTTTTTTCCTGTGTTCTTCAGCCAATTCTTCCAACTCTAAACTGCTTTGTTGTTCTAAAACATATTGTTTCATCTTGTTTTGCTGCTCTTTCAGTCTTAATGATACCTTTGCCTGCCTCTCAAGTTCCTCTTGTTGTTTCTTTAAAATCATTAAGTCGCGCTTTTTCTCAGAAAAAGTTTTCGACGGAGCGGCGGTATAACGACTAGATTTCTGAGAACCCGATTGATGATGTCGGCTGCTTCGGTGTAACACCTTAGAGCGGGTATCTGTTTTATGCGACTGGGGTTTTTCACTTTTTTCAGAATGATGAGAATTTTTTGAGCTGCTATCTATGTTGTCCGGCTCTGTTACTGCCTCAAAACTTGTTTTATATGTGATAGCTTCCTGTAAAACTTTATCGTTGCTTTGAGTCAACCTATGAAGCCACATATCCTGTGCAGGTATCAATTCGTCGGGATTGGCACTTTTTGCAGCCATATCAATCAGCTCAGTATTTATTTCGACCGCTTGTTCTATATAGTTCCTACATTTTTCAATATAAGTATCAATTTTTGAGCAACGACTTTGACTCTCTATGTATTCTAAAATTATCTCGTGGCATTTATAAAGTTCGTTTTCGAGATTGCTACGTTTCTCAAACAACTTCTTAATTTTCTTCTGAAACTTAACTTCCATGCTTAATAATTTCAGAAATAAACGACTCTCAGAAAAAACTGTATTTTCACTCAAGTAAATCCACAAATACTTTTACCTGGCGTTAAAGTCAAAGCTTAAACCGGGCTTTGTGAAACAAGTCTCTTTCACGCGCTTTTGAGACGGCGCGGATAGTGTACGGAGCGCGTGATCTAGAGAACTAGCTCCTAGAATGAATACCATACACTCAAGAGACCTATGCGACGGCCACGTTACGCTAAAGTACCAATGGGGTGGGGAAATTAAGTAGGTAGGTTGAACTCCAACAACGCACACGGAGTAAACCTGAGGATGAAAGAATTCAACTTAACTCACTTAATATCACCGTACCTGACCACTGAACATTAGTGTCGCGGAACGAAGTCAATAGTTGGAGGAGCTGAAACGGCTTAGATTTACTTAAACCAATGGGGTGGGGAAATTAAGTAGGTCGGTTGAACTCCAACAACGCACAGGGAGTAAACCTGAGGATGAAAGAATTCAACTTAACTCACTTAATATCACCGTACTTGACCACTTAAATTTAGTGTCGCGCAACGAAGTCAATAATCAGACGGGCTGAAACGGCTTAGAATTACTTGAAGCATACTGGCTTTCAGTTTCACCAATGTGGGTGGGGGATCAGGCAAATTGGTTAAGTTCCAACAACACACGCGGAAAAAACCTGAGGATGAAAAAACTCAACTTAATTCGCCTGATATTTCGCTACCAGACCACTTACCATAAGGTTGGTGTCATGTTACAGCACAGTTTCACAGAATGATGGGGACATTTTGAGGACTTTTTGGCAATTTTTTACTTTTTTCCCAAAATTTTTCGGAAAATTTTGGTCAGCAGGTTCGAGTCATAAACCAATCCAAAAAAAACTAGACTAGTACCCCTTGTCTATGATCCGATTTCACGGATTAACATTCCGTTCACAAATATCCAAAAAATTTTGGTATCGAGAAAATTACCACTCGTAGCTTGCTTTGAGTTGGGATACACAATAAGACATCGTATGTAATTTTATTGCAAAGAAAGTTTATGAGAAAAAAAAAACTAGACGAGTCTTACAGTTTTTGACGATTTTGGAGATTTTCGGCACCGGAAATTTCTCACTCACGAGTCTGAACAGCTGTTTTTTCGTGCCTGTCAGTGGGAATGGAACACACTTTCTCGATGAGTAGGGCCAAATCACTCAAGAGGTGCTGATGGGAGGAGAACTTCTGGTGATTATTTGCGCTGCAACATTCTTAGCTGCTTCAAATGTGATCGAATTGAATGCTTTTGAGTCTTTCACGTGTTCCAGCGTTTCCCATTTGTAAAAGTTTGCCGAAATCTATTCTACATTCTCCTGACAAATGTCGATCTGGGCTAGTGCTTCGGAAATCTCTTGTTACCAATTTTTTTTGTCCGAATAGTGTTTCAGCTCACGGCAAGCTCGGTCGCTGAACGAGCGTGAAGTTCGAAGGAAACTCACTCTCTGGAATAGTCTCTGGAAGTTTGTTGTCTTCGAATGAAACCGAATCGCTCGTGTCCCTTGTGGGGCGCCAAAAAGTGCGCGTCAATCTCCACGATTATATGAAAAACGGTTTTTAAACACTTTAATTGATGAGTATTTTCTCGGCAAAATAACTCCGGAAGTTTGAAATAATAACGATAATTTATAATTTTTAACAAGCTTTATCATCGGTAACATCGGCCACCAAAAAACTGCATAACTCAAAGCAAGCTGCAAAAATGGCCAGTATTTGTCCTTGAGACAAATTGCTCTTTTTAAAGGTCAGCCTTAATCAAGGCTGAACCAAATTAGAGCGAAAAAACGGTTAAAAAAGGTTTTGGGGGGGGATCGAACCTGGTTACGGAGCATCCCATCAAGTTCGGTGCATATTTGAGTGCTAGAAAGGAAATGACCTAGTCGGGTTTCGAACCGGCGCCGAACCCGCCGGGACGCACCCTGTATACGCTTGGCTACTGTCCCTATAGGCAATTTACATTTTGGTTCAGTTTTATGCATTTATACTCTCATGCGTTTGCGCTGCAACACTGACAGTATTTTGATTTTTCAAAACTCAAAGTTCCGAGTCTAATCAACTTTTTTAAATGTTGGTTTTCAATCCATTTCAATTGTTTTGAGCTTTCCTGCTATTAAGCAGAAATAAATAGAAAAATTTCCATGTGTTGTAGACTTTTCAGACTAGCTGTCAAATAAATAAATTATCAATGAAACTTAAACGCAGGCATGACAGATCAACCGCTTTATCGACAAACTTTTCATTCTGGTCAATTTTTTTTAGGTCAACTTTTTATTCACAAAACTTCTAAGCATAAATGTTTTTAGGCGTTTCACAAAAATTAAGCAGTAACTGATTATAATGAAGTGTGAAGCAATTTTTCCAAGCTTCTTAAAATTCATAGCGCATGTCAAAAACCATGAGCTTGAGCTTTAGTGAGCTTTCGTCCGGACTGTATGATTTTTGTTAACAATGTATTTTCTTGCGAAAAACGAAATATCTTTGAAGAATAAAAAAGATCAAGTATTCAGTTACACCCAATTGAAGTGCGTTGACAATGTGATACAAGTTTAAAGATCCGGAGAAAACTATTACTTATTCAAATATGGTGGTAGTCTTTTAGCGGATTGATTATAGTACGGAAAATGTTGATCTAAAAAAATCTCCAGCAGAAACTGACTTATTAATTTAGCAAAAAAGCAAAATCATGCCGACAAAAATACATATATACTTTTTTCCAATAGTGTTAGCTATTGCTTGAGTCGAAGTCCAAGATTTTGAAAGCCGCGCCGCATCCCAATCGCAAATTGCATAATGGAACCAAAATTTTGAGTCTGGAAGGTATGATCATGAGCCGCGAAAGTCTAGACATGAGTCGCACCGTCGGTCGCGATAACCTGGAATTGGTCGCAAAAGTCTGGACACAAATTTTTCAGACCTCGCGTTCCATGCGTAGACTGACTTTCACGAACAGCTTTTAGTATGTCCCGATTTTCGTGTCCTACTGCGCGACTCATGTCCAGTGTTTCGCGACTCATGTCCAGACTTTCCAGACTCGGCGCAACTTTTCAATTTGAGTCTGCATCGCCGCGACGTACGGCGTGAATTTGCGACGCATGGCGCGACTTTATGCCCAGACGCGAAAGTTGCAATAAATTGTTTCTGGGTTCGCGACGTTTCTACCTAGGTTGCAAAAATCGCATCGTTGCCACTTTGGTCGCAAAAAACGGGCGTTTCCAATCGGGTCGCAAAGGTCGCGAAAAATTGTTCATGGGTCGCGTTGCCTCCACCCTGGTCGCGAAATTTGTGCCAGCTTCACTTTACACGCGAAACTCTGGAAACGGATGAGGTGACTCGCGCCGCCATTCGCAACACTTAGTGAGTCGCGGCTGAATTTTCGTCGTGAAAGTTCATACATACCAAATATGCGTCGCGAAACATTGGTCTTGACATCTCAGTCTCGGTCGCGAAAGTCGCGGCGGTTCTTTTGGTCGCGAAAAACTGTAAATGATGCAAACTTTCGGTCGCGAAAGTCTGGACATGCATCAGTTCTGTTGGGAGAGTCTTTTCATGTCAAAAATTTCAAGTGAAAGTCTGGAGAAGAGTCGCGGACCTCGACACGAGCGGCATTGGTTCACTTAGTTCTGGTATTTGCACTGTAGAACACTTCTACATTTTTTACAAGTAGCATGAAGCTCCTCTTTGATTTTCAGGATCCATTGCTATTGCATCTACTACAGTTTTATCGGTTTTAATGTTCTTTTTTTTCTCCCCAGGAGACTGATCGCATGATTGAGTTTGCGAAAGAGAGACTGTACCAGAAGTACATCAGAGATCTGGATGAGTTGCGAAATGAAATCAGAAGAGACAATGACATCGAGAGTGCACTGAGGAAGACTGTGGACAGACAGCACACTGCCCTAAAGAGCATGATGCACGCAGGTCAGGGGGTAGCTTTCATTTAAAGGGGGAGGGGAGTGGGATACGAGGATACGGTAGGGGACGAGAGGAGAGTTAAAATGGAGAGGTCAGTTTTTGGAAGGAAAAGGAATCAAGGACATATCAAAAAGTTTCTCGAGGAGGATTTACAACAAAATTTCAGTTTTTTGTCCAGTATTTTGTTTCTAGTTTTTGTCCAGGTCGAACAATTAAAAATTCTGATTTCTACCTCTATTGTCGAAAAGACTCAAGTTAATTTAGGCAAAGGTCTGTGCCATCCAAAAAAAACGTCTACGAGAACATTTGCTGGTTTGGATGTCGAAAATTTCTAAGATGTTTACGGAGCTTTTTAACACTTTCGATAGCATATTTGTCTCAAATGGATATTTAAGTGTCCATTTGAGCACCGATACTCCTGGGTCAAAGCGAGGCCAATGCCCAAGCCGCCAAGTCATGTTGGCGTTGTCCCGGTGCGTACAATCAATAGGCAAAATTGTGCAGATTGTAGCGTCATGACCACCACTGCTACCTCGGAAAGGTAGAACGGGTTCCCGGTGGTGACTTTCATTTCGTTTGAATCAGTTCTAATGATTTGATAAAGTCAGAACCATTGCCCCTGGCCTTGACCAGCTGGGGTGCAGATGGGAGGAACTTATTACTAACTTCAGTATTTGACATCAGGAAACGAACCAAAAAAGGAACTAGTTTGAATATTTTTTCAAAATTGCTATTCCACTTTTTTTTGAGTGAATTGATATTTCTCGATGTTTCAAGATCAAATTATGTTCAAATTGTTTTCGAAAAATTACAAAATTTCAAATTTCAGGCGCGCACAAACGAAAGCCGATTGGCTCGTCTTTAGAGGGCGACGAAAGTACAGACACAGTGGAGAGAAACAGACGAAACATAAGGAGGCTGCACAGTTTGAACACGAAAATAACTGACATGGCACAGCACTGAAAGTTGCACTTCAGCTTAAACGAAAAAAGAAGAGAATGAATGATTTCAATATTGAGTTATAAGAATCAAATCATTCACGTTGAATGTTCATTAATAATTTCGTACTTTAAAATGCATACTCACCAAATTAAGTACAAACTCAATAGTTAATTAATGCTTTTTAAATCAAAAGTGAAACCCTTAAACTAGATAATTGGTTTAAGTTTTGATTTTCAAACTCAGAAGTCTCAGTTTCGCTTTTCGAAATTAAACACCGGAGCCTAATCTTATGCTGGGCTGGAAAAAGCAGCGTTTTTACTTGACAGGTCAAGCGGACCCGGCAAGGTCACTTGAAAAATTTTTTTGACCGTTGATGTTGGAACCAGTTTAAAACTAGCCTTGATTTTGAACCATTATAAAAACGACACTTTCTGTTTTGGCATAAAAATTATCTGTATCAGTGCACGATTAGTTTTTTGAGAGAAGAAAATAAAAATTAATTAAAACATAACCAGAAGTTTAAACCTACAGATTTGTGAGGTACTTGCTGGCGTACAAGTTTGGTATGGTCAGAATTGGAGTTAATTTATGACAATTTTTCACACAATTTGTTTTTTTTTGCATTTTCAAAATTGCTCTAGTTATGCGGAAAAATATAAGACAAGTAACTTTTCTTTATTCACTCTGAAAGACGCTGCAGCTTATAGATGCAATTTAACAATTAAAACCAAGTTATTCTAAGATCCAAGTTGCATATTGAACAGCTATCCGAATCGAATCAGAACTTACAAATTTTTGGTAACAATTCAGCGACAACACAAAAGCCATCCTGAGTTTTTTAAAACCTGCTGGTTCGCGATTAAACAGAAAGCGGGTAGAATACGTGACATTGGCAAGTGGAACCCAGCAGATAAAGAGAGGAAGTGGCTTCTAATATCAGGTGCAAGTGAGCCTCCTAATTATATCCAGCTGTCCGAAATGGGGGCACGTGAGATGGGAGGAGAAAGGCGGGACTTTTTCTTAAAGATCACAGTGTGGATTTCGTGATTATGGAGAGAACTGTTGGTCATCATCTCTACAACAGAGTGCAAAATCTGCACACGAGAAAAGAAGATGTGAAATCAAGCCTTCAAAGTTTTTTCCAGCATTGCAAAGAGAAAAAATACAACCCAATGATCTATTACATTGGCCATGGGGAGATGGCAACTGGAAACTGGTGTCTGGCAGACGGTACAGTTGGAATAGAAGAGATCTTCGATTGGATCCCAACTGGCATGGAATCCCCAACTATCTGCACAGACTCATGTTTCCGAGGAGTGTGGGCTGATTTCTGCGTTAGAAAAAATATCCCAGGCTTTCACTGCCTCTCTGCGACAAAAGACTGCCAGGTTGCTTATGATCACACTGGTAAATTACATCTCGATAGTTGAACCTTATATGATGCCGTCCAGTTGTTAAATCAAATACAGCTTAACGTTAAAGCGGACTATCTAATTACAACTAAAGCGATGGAAAGCGATATAAAATTAGGAAATAAAAATCGTTCTCAAATTCAAATCAATTTCAAGTTTACCTGTTCCTTTAGGCTTTAGTATTTCGAAACAAAACTGTTCGGATGATCTCCTTAGACTCAACAAACTCTAGGAAGTCTGTTGTCATTAAAATTTTTTATCTTTATGGCTAAACGCGCTTTAATTTGCATTCAATTTTGGTATTCTGCCAAATTATTCAAAATTCTTTGCGAGCCCCTTGTTTACCTATGTTTAAAAGACAGCGCACAACTTGTTCTTTAGTGATCAAGGTCAAATCCATGCTATGGTCACTTACTCTCTTGTGAAACCTTCACCTACGTTACCCACATACGAAAAAACGTGCGACTCTAAGGCTAGTCAATTGTTTCGTGTTTAGATGGAGGAGGTGAACTGACATACTACATGACGGGTAATGAGAGCAAACTTAAAGATGGTCGACCCTCCACTGAGCCACTGTTCAGCAGAGGAACATGTGATAAATTCAGTCCACTTGAAAATACGCCAAAACTATTTACGTAGACTTCATCAGATTTTGTACGTACAATAACCAACAGACTTTGATGACTCAGAGTTTAGATGACAACTACATGCAAGCTATTTTCTGTAATCACGATAAGTACAACACAAGGAAGAAGCAATTTTGGGTTAGCTCCGCGATCAAAGAAGTGAAGGAACAAGTAGAAATTGACACCATGGCTGGCATGAATATTTTCTCACTCGCGGCTGATCAGAAAACGGGAAAGTTTTATGTATACATGATGGAAGATTTCGGCAAAGCACAGCCTATAATAACTGCAGACCCGAAGATCTATTTTTGCCTTGTCTGTCTGTGACCAGTGTCACCTGCCTCAAAAAAGAGATTTTTGCGTAGTAACTACCGGTGTGACTCAATATGAAAATAAAAAACAAGTGATATTCACAAAGAGCAACAGGTCGGGTCTAGATACTGATTTTAAAAAGCAGAGGTCAGAAGTCACTACCTCTTTTGGTATCAATCGCGAGTTGAGTGAGTACCTGGTATTGATGACTGAGATGGAAGGGTGCGAACAGGCGAGTGGATGGTTAAAAACTTCAACTACAGATGGAAACAGGTAGCATGAAAAATGGTTAGAGCCTCATCGTAGAAGAGGACTAGTGTACACAATAGTGTGTGGGGATCCGTCAGATGAACAATCATTACACGTTCTGACGTTCGGATGAGGATAGAAATGAATTCCAAGTCAAAGTTGCATCCTTCTTCAGCTGAGTGTTACATCTGACGAGTAAAAATTATCTTAATCATTTTCTTAATTGATATTTATTTGACCCAAATCTACTATACCAACTCTTTATTTCAATGAGTTAACTGCTTCACCCCTTGTGAACTGCGGTCACACAAAACAATAGTGAACTTGAAACCGATCATTGAAAAGCTGGAATAATTTGTTGCTGCAATTAAATCTTCAAGTAATAACTGAAATGCGTTGGGCAGATATTGCGATAGCTGAGTTTTTAAACAATAGCAGCAGATATAGCAAAAATAGTATCCAATATTTCTTAACAGCCTTCATTGAAAGCATAAATCAGTTTCATTAAATTGTGTCATCAAATCGATATTTTTATTCTAACATTTTTTTCAGACAAGCAGCTTGCTTCTAACGAATAATTTTTTTCTCAAATGAATTAGTGTTTGATTTTATTCTATACAATTAGTAAGAAATAAAATAATGTTTGAACAAGCATTTGTAAAAAGATTCAAATCCAACCAAGCGATATTTTTCTAGCCGATACTTATATTTTCTATCAAATTATTAGTTTTTGGTTTATGCTTTTGGTTGATCAGCAACAAATTGTGCTTTAAGACTGAAATCAATTAATACATATGTTTAGCTGATTAAAATACTTAAACTTTTTTTTACTTCAGAACGCTTAATGAAATTTAAATAACCAAAAAGCAGATTAAATTCAACGCTCACCATTAAATTAGAAATATTGATAAATCTGAAATCATTAACACAATGTAAAGGTGATCTAATTCAAATCTTACTTCAGAAACTTATTTGATGCTAAATTTCATGATCAAAATTTTGTACATGATTGATTTGTTATCTTGTCTACGGGGTAAAGTTCTGAAATATCTAGGGTACTGTTCACGACTAACACTCATAGCATCAAAAGTGTTTTCGAATTCTTGAGGTGCTGTCTCGTAGTTAGCAGCATTCAATTGGTAGTTTTCATACACGCGAAACTGGATGTTAGTTTGACAATTGCTTCTACAATTTGATTAGCAGTACCTCGAACGTGACTTCTGTTCTAAAACAAAAAAAAAAAATTCTCTTTTCTTACTTCAGGTAAGTAGTTTTCACAAAACAAAAAACAAAACCAGGGCTGGTTTTATAATTTAAAATTAAGCAGTCTGTTCGTTAATCTCCACTCTATCATTGTAAGAACAAAAGCAGTAGATTTTCGATTTTTTGGAAATTAGTAGCAAACTTTTTTCAATGGTGAGGATAGCGCCAATGTGTGTTCTGTTCGACTAAATTGTGGACCGTAATTAAGTTTTCAGTGCAAAATTAAAAAAAACTATCGAAAACCAATTTCTCGACAAGTTTTTGTCAGCCGGGACGGATTTGAAAGGGGAGTTCTGAGAGGAAGGGTGCCGCGTGCATTCTTAAATGATGCGTCCTCAGCCCGACCCAAAGGGTCCCCCATTTGATACTGTTTGAAAACATCAATTTCTGCCTGACTGACTCCTAGAAAGTTTTGTCCCCAACCCCCCTCCCCTCTGAAAATTGAGCCGCATGCCACTGTTGCAACGTTATTTGGGTGACCGTAAAAAACGCGGAAGTCAGCCATAAAATATTACGACTGTGGCCATGTGAAGTTGAACTTGGGTGACCCGCCATTGTCTGACCCGCCATTGGGTGACCCACGTCTGTTCAGTCTGGGTTCCTATGCTCCTCTTTTCTTCACTCTGTTCAATCATTTCCAGTTTTTTTTCCCTGTGTAACTTACTAAAATTCATTGAGATACTCTCATAATGAAAAATGTCTGGCAAACTCTTTCCAATTAAACTCTATAAAGTCAAAAAACTGATTACACCGACAGAAAATAGAATGGCCCAAAAACTTTTAAAAATAGTAATACAAATTTGTTTCTGAATATTTGTTTGTATCTTGATATGTTTTAAAGAAAAAATAGTTGACGTTTTTTTTTTCAAAATTGCTCCAGTTTGACTGTAATCCGGCCTCGATCGATAAACCTAGTAAATATGCATGTTATTTATTTTATTCATAGTTTATGTTAAACTCACTCGATTGGCCGGTCGGCACCTTGGTAGGCACAACACATGAACAGTGTCTGAAAGATTGTTCAGTCGAAAATAAATATTGTCTTTCAACTAGTTGTATTACACCGCTGCAGTTTAGACTCGCTGTTTATCGATCCATGCGGATTCCTGAGTTAGATATTCATACTCAGAGGTATGACATGGCGCAGTCAGCAGGATATTCTAAAAACCCGCTAAATGTCAACACGTTTCGGAGAAGGCGTCTATCGAACCACCACTAGAATGATCCAAGTGAGCAGCGATATTGGAGATGATAGTTTTCGCAAACGACGGAATCGGGGTATGAAACCTGCTAAGAGCCAGACCACCATTATTCAAATTTTCAGAACCTATACGCGAAGTT